ATTGTTAAAGCTTTCAAAAGCATCATTTTAAAATCCGTTTGGGAAGAAATAAAAATTCTTAATAATATTTACCATTCCTCAAAGCTCTATGCATAACTTCCTATTAAGTAATTTCTATTCCTTTTCACTTAGATTATTTTTTTCTCTATTACTTATGTTAATTACTACTTCTCACAGTTGCCTCAAATAGATAAACAAGGCATACAACTACTGAAATACAGGGACCAGCAGTTGGCACAATGGCTATGTTGCTGGACTCCCATCTAGTCGACTGCTGTTCAAGTCCGGGGCCCGGCTTAAACTCACGCCCGAGAGGGAAATGGAGGAGAAGGGATTGCAGCGTGACCATCACCCCTGGGGGGGGGGGTGATTTCTTGCTTTCTGTCTCTCTATCTCTCTCTTCTCTCTGTCCTTCTGGTGAGCAGATGTATCCTATAGCAAAAACCTCTCAAAAAAAGGAAAGAAACAAGTACTGAAATACAACATCCTTGAGAACAGGTATGTTCTCCAATAAAGAAAATATTATCTACAGGAATGAGTAGTCAAAAACTGTATTTTTAATACTAAAATTTAAAGATGTACTGGGGAGCCGGTAGGTGGCATGATGGTTAGTTAAAGGCAGTGGACTCCCATATGGCCAACTGTGGTATGAGTCCTGGACCTGGCAGTCTGCTTTCTCACTTTCCCTCCCTCTCTGACTCTGTTCCTTTCTGGTCAAATTAAAAATAGATAGATAAATATATAAAGTTAAATAAAGTAATTCTTAAAAATGTGCTGGTATTTTCAATGTATGGTGTCACTTTTAGAAAAGACAATGTACACACCTATAGCTCATTTGGAATTCATATAAGCAATAAATCAGGTTTGGAAAATGACAGAGCAGACCTAGGTCACAGTCCGAGCTCTATCGCAAATTACATACATCATACACATACACACAATCATGGTACATATATATATATAAATTATAAGTATTTACGAACTACTCATAGATTATATACATATAGTATGAGCATAAATATCACAAAAAGCAAACCAAAAACAGAAGTTTAAAAGGATAAATAATAGAATATATTAAAGTTTTAATATTTTCTTCCCTCACCACAATGAATCATCCAGCATACCTCCAAGGGTACAGACAATACTCGAGGCCATAATGAAGTATATAGAATTATTTGTAGTTTCCAAATATATATATATATATATATATATATGCTGCTTCTCACACACCCTCACACACCTCTCCACACCCTCCACTGGAGGTGGTTTCTCACTTTCCCTGGTCTGTCTGTCTCTGGCAAGAGCAAATGCCCTCTGGCAAATTTAAACAATACAGAAAGAAGGAGAAAGAAAGAAAGAAAGAAAGGAAGGAAGGAAGGAAGGAAGGAAGGAAGGAGGAAGAAGAAAGGAGGGGGAGGAAGAAGAAAAGAGGGGGAGAGAGAGGAGGAATAAGGAAGGAGGAGGAGTAAAGAAGGGAGGAGGAGGAAGGAGGGAGGAGGAGGAAAGAGGGAGGAGGAGGAAGAAGGAAGGAAGGGGGAGAGGAAATGAAGCTCAAATTATACGATACATCTAAAGTAATGCCATTGGGCAGTTCTCTAATGATAAGAGAAAACATTCTCTTTATCTAGTACACTTCATGTACTGCTCATCTTATTATTATTATTTTTTTTTTTGGAGAGGTTTTTGCTATAGGGTGCATGTGCTCACCAGAAAGACAGAGACAGAGAGAAAGAAAGCAAGAAATCACCCCCTAAGGAGGATGGCCATGCCACAATCCTTTCTCCTCTATTCTCCTTTTGGAATCTTGGGTATGCACGCACACACACCTGGTGTGAGTTTAAGCCACCGGGTCCCAGACTTGAACCATGGTCAACTACATGGGAGTCTAGCAACACAGCCATTACACCAACTGCTGGTCCCTGTACTGCTCATCTTAAGATTGAGTAGTATATGGGGCACCTATAAAGTTTTACAATTTGAAAACAAGTATTAACTCAATGCCTTACAAATACACCAGGAGACCAAAGAAAACAAACATAATATCTAAGCGATTCATAGGTTTTCTTACTAAAATACCACATATTACTTTAAGATATTTACAAATAAGGTATTTGAGTCATCTATTTGCTAAAACCACATTCATGGACCGTCTGCAGAGTATCATTCTGAGACATTGATGTATCTTTTTAAAAATGCATTATTATTACTATTAGAGATTTTTTTCTTATAGACACATGCACTAACCAGAGACAGCGAGAAAAAAGTGAACAATGGTCATGTGGGAGTCCAATAATCACCATGCCACCTGCTAGCCCAATGTTTATATATCTTCATTGCATTCCAAACAGTTGTAATGAATGCTTTTCTCAAAGTTGTGCCCACTTATTTAAATATACAGATTTTAGACTAATATAGAAAAGGTCATGATTATTTAGTTTCCAGAAGTATCATCTAGCAAATCTATATGGGTTACAAAATGTTTGCAAATAGGAAAGGGTGAGGGATTTAAGACATCACCTAATTGAGTCCATCATGTTACTTTTTGCTACTAAAATACAAGAATTTTAATCTCTCTCAGTTTAAAAATACTGGAAGTACACTAAGGTGTTTATAAGCTAAACAATGTTACAAGTTTACTTTCTAAGCATGAAATCTATTAGATCACTCAGCAATACAGTATTCTGAACATCAGCCACTGGAAATGAGTCTAAACATTTATGTAAAAGAAAAAGTCTCCCTGCTCTTTGGTAGAACTAAGAAATACTTCCTATACACACAGTGCTTTCTGAAACACTACTTACACTGTATGTAGTGCTTACACTACCTGTTAGCACTTCTATACAGCCATTTTCTTGCCTCCTTGTGTTTCCACATGTATTATACCAGATAGGCTTAGATGAACTCTAAGGTTCCCGCTGGGTTTAAAACCTGTGACATCAGGAACCAGCAGTTAGCGTAATGGCTATGTTGCTGGACTCCCACGTAGTCGACTGCGGTTCATGTCCCGGACCTGGTGGCTTAAAACTCACGCCGGGCGCGTGTGCGTGCGTGCCCAGGATCCTGAGAGGAGAATGGAGGAGAAGGGATTGCAGCGTGACCATCCCCCCTGGGGGGTGATTTCTCGCTTTCTGTCTCTATGTCTCTCTCTGTCTGTCTGGCGAGCGCACGCGCCCTACAGTGAAAATCTCTCCAAAAAAAAAAACAAAAACAAAAAACCTGTGACATCAATTGGCAGTATATTTTACTACTTAAAAATATTGACATGTGATGGGACCAGCAGTTAACGTAATGGCTATGTCACTAGACTCCAATGTAGCTGACTGCGGTTTGAGTCCCAGACCCGGTGGCTTAAAATCACGCTGGGGGCGTGTGCGTGCGTGCCCAAGATGCCAAAAGGAGAATGGACTATGGCGGTGGCCATCCCCCCAGGGGGTGATTTCTCACTTTCTATCTCTCTGTCTCTGTCTTTCTGAAGAACGCACGCACCCTATAGCAAAAACCTCTCCAAAAAAAAAAAATATATATATATATATTGACACGTGAATGGGCTGACCTTTTTTTTTTTTTAATGTGAGTTATAGTGATAATGCATTGTGGAGACAAGGGTAACATACTATATAAGTATAGAAACACTAGTATTTAAAACAATTTACAAAGCAAATTCTTGAGTAATTATTCTATTACCAAATAATTTTACTTTACAAGAGGGCTCAAGAAAAGGTTTCTCAGTTTAAACAGAGCTCCCTAATATGCAAAGCACTATTTTCACTGTTTTTAGTAAAATAACTCACTGATAGTCTTTAAAAAAACAGCTTATGGGAAGCCAGTGACAAATAGAGATTATTTTAAAAATTGCAATTATAAATCAAGGATTAAAAATTAACACAATTTTTAGGAGCTACTCAGTAAAAGTATAAATTAATGTCCAGTTTCAAATATGAGGCCTATATTCATTTTATTAAACTACTACTATTAGATTGGCTAGCACATATGGGCTAGCACTGGTGACTTCACATTTTTTAACTTGTTTAATCCTTATGGCAACTCTGTGAGGTAAATACTATTATCCCCATTTTATAGATGTGGAAACTGAAGCCAAAAAGTTTAAGTGACTTGGTCGTGTTTACTCAGCAAGAACACAAACTACTATGCCACTTTAACTACCATTTCCAACCACATTCAATTATTTTTCTAAAATAATTTACACTTGAGAAATTGGCTCATATCAACCATACAATTATTATAAAATATCAGCATGTTTTCTTGTAATATCCTCCTGTGTTACATTATTTTCTTTTACTAAAGAAAAATATTGTAATTGCATACATGGGTGGTGTATACCAAGAACACAGTGCTCTCTGAATTGCCAGCAATTTCTGGTAGAATAAACGGAACGTCTAAACTGGTTAAAATTTTTGTGTTGATGTATTCCCCATTATTGCAAAAATTGGGTCTCCTCGGAGAGAAAAAGATCAAGAGTATGCCACAGTAATTATTAACCGTTTAGTAACATTCATAAATCTCCGATGGCTGACATGGGTAGTAGAAGATACAATTACTTTTAAATTTGAAAACCACCACCTAACATGAGCCAACATTATTTTTCTTAAGATACTTCCTCCCAGAAACTTTTTAGTGTGTCATGCTAAAACTGTTTAAAAGATGCCAGCTCAACTTCCATCACGGAAAAACTTTTCCTCTGCCTTCACGTTACAATTCTTCCCAGGGGAATCATTCCACTTCACATTACCAAGCTTACCTGCTTTGGACTGGGCTTCCTTCTAGGCTCTCCATCTAGGTGCGATTAACGCGGATCTGCCCACGCCCACCACACCCCTCCCGGCCCCCGCCCAGCGCCGCTCCTCCTCCCAGTGTTCGCCAGCACCGACTCAGCACCTATCAGCGCCGCCCCCAGGCCCCTGGCCCAACCCATCCTCGGACACGTGTGAGGGTGTGTTTGTGTCAGTCTGTCAGTCCCACCAGGGACCGGGCTTGCTTACCGAGAGAGAAGCGCCAACTTCTGCTCCAGCATCATCTCCAGCTTCTGACCCTGCTTGGAGATCCAGTGGTCCACGCCGTGCAGGCGGTAGCACGTCTCCAGCATCAGCCTGAAGTCCGCCACGAAGTCGGTGATGCCCCCGTACTGGCCGCTTGCGAACTTCTCCTCCATCTTCAGCAAACACATGCCCTGCCCCGGTTGCTGTGGGAGGGCGCGACTGCCCCGGCCCCCGCTGCGCGACCCCTCGGCCACCTCCTCCTCCCCGGTGGCAACGCCCCCTAAGGGCTGCAGAAAAGGGGCGGTGAGGCCCCGGTGCTTCTCCTGCAGGAATTCGCCCAGGATGCGGTAGCCTTGCTGCAGCTCGTAGGTCAGCTCCTGCCCCTTGCAGCCACCGCCCCCGACCACCATCGCCTCCTCCTCCTCCTCTTGGCCGCCGTCGTCCCGCCGCGACG